GTCATTAGCTCAGTGCCAACAAGCGAGGGTGGGTATACTACTCTCATCCTCGGTGTCAAAATGCAGGGAAAAGAACCTGTGCAGGCCCGCCCGCCAGCCAGCTCCTGGTCTGTTTTGCACAGCCTACTCCAAATAGCACCCTGATGGATCAGCTGTCATACTGCGGTCAGATAAGTTCTTTGATGCATTTACCTGCATCCCTGGGGATGATTAGTTCAGAAATGGGGCAGTATGCATCAAAGTTAATGCAGAAGAAATGATGGATCTCTGTCTGATGCAATTTCTATTAAGTGCATTGTCGTCTAGAGCTAAGGCTGGGCATTTGTACTTTATACAAATCTACCTCTGGCACTCACGATGGTTTTTGGATATTTTGCATGTGTGTGTGTGCATGTGGATGATCGGACTCTCTCTCTCTCTCTCTCTCTCTGTGTGTTGGTATATATGGTAACTATATAGCATATACACTTAGTTTTTCTTTTATAGCAGCTCTGTCATTCTGTGTCAAACCATAACGTTTGTCAGTTTTGTCATGATCAACCCTTCAGTTATCCATTATTTTGATTTCATGTCAGATCAGGTCAAATTCACTCTTTGTATGACTCTCATGTGGCAAACATCCATCCACAGGCATGCTTATACTGCATATTTTCTTCACGTGGACTTAAAGGGCAAATGGGAACTAATACCTGGCTCTTATATGATGCTTTTCATTGATAGATCACAAAATGCTTTGCAAAGGTCAGTATCACTATGTGCTCTTTAAACAGCTTATCCAGTGCCTAGGTGGATAATATGATATTTAAATTAGTAGAATTGTCTCCAACAGTGACTAGAAAAAAAGTTTTTCTTTTTGTTTCAAATTTTGTAATTCATTTGAAAGTAATTACTTTGAAATTGTAGTCTTACAGTATTTAACACTTTTAATTTTGGGGTCTAGATTTGAGATCTGAGCTTGCACCCCTTAGTTAGACAAAACTCCCTCCAATGTCAGCGGGGGCTTTGTGTGTGTGTGAAGAATTACTGTAGGACTGGGCCTCAGAATTACAAGATTATTCTCTCCAAGCTTTGTCTCAAAACATTTTCTAGGCCTGTTTTCATTCCTGTTTTAAATGTATTTAGAATAACAATATGAGGTCTGATACAGCTATTTTGTACTTTCATCGTATAAAAATGGAATGCTGCCACCTTTTGGCAACTTGCAATGGTACTTCCAAACAAAACCAGGAAGGGTTTTTTTATGCAGATTGAAAATATTACAGTTTTATTCTGACAGCTGGAGATTTTGAGCTTTTTTCTATGTAGGTTAGCAAATGTTAATGATATTTTTTTTAATTTATTTAAACCATTATACCATGGTTTTAAGTGAAATATTTAGCAGAATAATCCTACCTCCCCGGTGTTGACAACAGGGGGTGCTACTACCCCTGAAATGGATCTTTACTGGCTCCTGGTGGAGCAGATTACTGTCATACCAGTGAGAAAGATCCACAGTAATTATTTTCAATGCACAGCAGTTTATTGAGAAGGAATTACACAAGCAGTAAAGGGTTATATCAAACACATGACTCCTATGTTAGACATTAAAAGCTATACATTCTCCTTAACGAGTCTCTCTTTCACAAACAGGCCCTGTGCTAGCCTCACACAGTTCCTGCTTGGCAGACAGAGAAGGTGGTTACCAATTTTATAGACAGCTTCTTCCTTCCAGGTCTGGTCTTCTCAGCCCTCTGGTCTGTCTCGAATTCCCCCGAGGCAAGGCCTCGGCTGCCTGGAAACCCCTCCTGTCACAGTCCTACTTGAGCCCACAGAGCAGAGTTTTGGCTACTCTGTCTAGCAGCATTGCTTCTTTAAGTGTTAATTAAGGAATCCCAACAGTAATTTAATTTGCTTGATTTTTATACTCTTTCCTCAAAGGAGTCACATGTCTTAAAAGCGTGCCCAGTGGGCATGTGGCTACTAATTTTTACGTGGTTATTACTTTTGGAGAAGACTGCAGAGTGATGCCAACTGAACATTACCCCACATTCACTCCCTTATCAATCATTCACTTCAGCCCCCTGCGTGATGTCCTTCAACAGGATCAATATGCCCCCATCAGCCCATGCTCCATTTAGGATGTTCTACACATGTTCTTTGCTTTCAGGTGGACTTATTTGCTGACCCAAAGATCAGTATTGATCCTACACGCAGCATGGAGCCAGTCAGTTTCACCTCTGGCATCTGCCTGATGCTAAGAGAAGGATTCTGCTCCCAGAATCCTCTTTCGCAGTTCAGTCATGTCAAGCCATGTTCTCACACCATTCATTCAGTACGGCCACGCCAATTCGGCACCATCCCAACACCCAGTATCGCTGCAGTACATGAAATTTAAAACAAAAGGCAGAGCTTAACTCTCTTGTGACACTGTGGGTTTGCGCTTATGCTCTCGTTGTGGTTCCAGAGTCTGTCAGCACTACCCTCTGAGTCAGCCGCAAGAGTTGCTACAGAGTGACATAAAGGGTATGTCTACACTGCAATTAGACACCCGCAGCGGGCCCCTGCCAGCTGACTGGGGCTTGTGGGCTGGGTCAGTTGCAGGTGTCTACTTGCAGTGTGGACCTACCCAACGTGCTCCTGCAATCCAGGGTCTGGGTGCGTTGTCTGCACAGCCCGGCCATCCTCAGCTGACCTGCAAGACTATTGCCAGGCCTCTGCTTTGTTGTACTGTTACTTGATTGCTAGGCCAGCCTCTGTTAACATGGGTATGCTTTAGAGTGTGTGACATTTTACTCTGATTATTAGATACAGGGTCTAATTCTCTGCTAGCAAGAGTCATTGACTTCAGTGGTTACAGCAGCAGAGAATTTTGCTTCACTACCTAAAAAAGTTCATTTTAAATGAAGGTGGGTTCTTCCCACTCCAGTAGCATTTCCTGAAAGGGAGGAATAAACCATCCACTTACTTCAAGAATAAATGTGTATAGGCCCTTTCATTCCCTAAAATACCAAAGCACTTAATAAACCTGAGGCTTGATGCTCCTACCAATACACATGTTGAGTTGTACTCTTTGCCTCTTTTTGACCCTGAGCAGCAGTTTGGAGCTCTGGGGATGTTCAGCTGGGGGATGCAATTGGTGATATCAGGTATTTATCTGATGCAGTTTTGTTTACAAAGAATGTACGAAGTCCTATGTCTCTGAGTGAGTGCAGAAAATGTTAAATAGCAGGAAACCGCTTCTTAGCTTACAGCTGCAAGCCTCTTTAGCCAATGGACCCCAAAATACTCTCTGTAGCTTTTTCAAGGGTCACACTGTTTTCTAGGGTTGTCACCTTTCTAATTGCTGGTAACAGGAGTCCTAAGGCCCCTCCCCCTTCTTTTCCTCTTCCCCCCAAGGCCCCGCCCCCATCCCTTACTCCTCTCCCTCCCTCCCTCCGTCACTTGCTGGATCATCTCCACCTTACTCCCTCCCCAGCTGGGCCCCCTCTTGCTCCAGGGCTGGCACAGGAGCTCCTGCAGCCTGACAACAAGCCTGCCTGCAGGTAGGAGGCAGCCCCAGCTGAGCAGGGGCTGGTGTGGGTTAATGACCTGGCACCGCCTCCTTCCCTGTGGTAACTGGACTCTTGGTGTCCAGTCAGTACATCTGACTGTGCACTGCCAGGTCACCTTTTCAACCGGACTTTCCGGTCAAAAACTGGGCACCTGACAATCCTAAATGGCACCTGGACACAGAAGCCAAAAACCGGGTTCTCCAGGTAGAACCCAGATGGCTGGCAACACTACTGTACTCTCCGGCTACTGCTTGGCTTGCTTGCTTTTTGCCAATGGCAGGCCCCTCTGTGTTCCATCAGGTCCTCTCTCTCTCTCAGCAAAGCTCTCCCCCGCCCACTCAGTCCAAACTCCTGGGCGGGTTCACAACCCCTTTTGTCTTCGGTGCAGGCGTGATGGTGGAAGGGCTTCTGATTAACTTATCCTGTTAATTGAAGGGTGAGTTCGCATCCAGTCTCAAAAGAGGTACGTGATTGATGCAGTCTCCAGTCCCGCTCAGCATAACAGTATCTTGAATGGCAGTGGGGCTACTCACTTAGGGAGCTGCCACTCAGCCTGAGTAGTGGTGACAGAATCAGGCCCTCTATATGTCAGAATCACTTGACTCGTCACCAAAGTGCAGACAGACATGGTTTACAATACATTGGCACGCAAGAGCCATCTAGAGCTGTTTAGACTAGCATGAGAAGAGGAAGAGCTCACCCAGCTGAGCGCATGGGGGAACGTAGCAAGGCAGAATGGAATGACTCCGATTGGAATTTGGTCAGGAAATGGGGGATTAATAATGTTACCCTTGAGAAATGTGTCATGGGATCGTCAGTGACCACAAGTGGTCAGGACAGGACGTTGGACTTACATCTCTGACGGCACCTCCAACAACATACAGTACATGTGCACCCTTTTGGAGCATTGTTTCAGCATGTACTAGGAGGGAAGCTTTCCGCTTGACAAAAGACCAATACCAGACTTCAGTTACTTGGAGGTGGTGGTGTTCTCATCCTGCATGGTTTTGCTTTTCTTGCGGTCACAACTGAAAGCAAGTGTTGTGAAATATTCAGGTAAGAACTCACTCGGCTATGTTTAAAACAATTCCCTGAAATAAGAGGCATTGATTGGCCGCTCCTCCCAATCAATAACTCCGGCAGTCAGGAGGCCTGTTCAAACAAATACTTCCTCCGACGGCAAGCCTTTGAGACCTTCCGTTCCTTTGCCCCACCACACACCCCCATCCTGCGACCTGTTACTGTTGTCCTCTGGCTCGTTCTATCAACAAATAGTGATCTATCCACAGTCCTGAAGAATGGTCCTGATATGTGTCATTTACATAACAAAAACAGCTGCTAGGGTTGGGAACAAACTATGGGCAAGCTGCCTTACAGCCATGGTGTTCTGTCCTTTTGATTTAAAATTAATCACAGTCGGCCAGATTCAGAAGCACTGGCTAACAGCAAGGTAAGTTACAGCTCCCTGAACCTGCTGATCCCCTGTGCCCCTATCCTGCTGGGTTTCAGGCTGTGTTATGCTGACATTAACTTGGAATGAATCCAGCATATTCATTAAACTTCTGCACATTTATGAAGAGGAAATCATTTCTTTAAAACTAGTGTTTGAAAAACTCCATGCTAAGGTGTCCAGCATCTCTGTTCTGTTTTAGTTGGCAGTGTCGATATTAGTCAGCAATATTTACATCACCTTAAACCTGCGTGCAATGGGGTTTTCTCTTGTAAATGACTGTATGTTTAAAAATGACGCGATTACTGTTTTCAGACCATTTTATTTCTTCAGATGTAACTTTCCCTCCTCCCCAACGTCTTTCCCAATAGACTCCACCGAGGAACCTATTGCGCTGAAGCTTATACAATCCTGTCTTGAAGAACACGACAGTTATTGTATTAATGGCCTCTGTGCTTTTCATAATGAACTCAAGAAACCCATATGCAGGTAAATACATTGATTGTTTAAATAAATGCTCTTGGAGAAGTAAACAAGTTTATATTTGTTTTCCTGTGTATGTTACACATAACTGTTATCCTGACCTGCACTCTGATCTGTATGCGGGCATAAGTTTAATGTCTGAGTAGTTCCACTGAAGCCAGTGGGACCTACGCACATGCTTCAAGTTAGGCACTGTGCAAATTCAGGTTCTCTATTAACAAGACACTAGAGCTGTGACAACATCATACTCTTGGGAATTAAAGCTTGCTGGAGAAAGCGAAAGCAGAAGATGAAGTGCTTGGAAGCTGCTTTTGACACATTCTGATATCAGAACTGCAGCATCGAGCTAAAATCGGAAGCTGAAGGGTTAAATTTACAGCTGTGTCCATTGTTTGACTGCTGGACTCAGGGCAGGGGCCACAAAGGAGCTTTCTAGAGCTATTCTTGGTTGCCTGTGGGCCCAATGGTCATTACAACAGCTAGGTATCACCAGAGCACAGTGTTCTCTCACGACACCCTCTATCAAGGGGAATTTTCAGCGCGAGGGATCCAGCAGCTTTTTGACATACAGGGTTCCGACTGCAAAATAGAATCTGCCCACCCCAGTTTAGTTCCCTTCCACATTTTAATTGCAAATTGTTTAAAATTAATCAAATGTAATAGGCATCTTACAGTCTCAAGTTAAGATTTTCTGAATACTCTTGTGGATTTCTTTTTCTTTTAGGTGCCTGACAGGTTACAGTGGAGAAAGATGTGAACACTTGACGTTAAATTCTTACGCGCTTAATTCTTATGAACGCTATATTGCAGTGGGAATTGGTGCTGGAATGTTACTGAGTGGGATAATTGCTCTAATCTATTGCTATGTAAGAAAGAGGTATGGAAAATGGTATTATCTGGGGCACAAAAAATTGTTATGTGACTTTCTAAACGGTTCAGAATACCTGGAAGTATGAGTATTCCTATGCTAAGGATTTAAGTTAAATATGGTTCCTTTTGCATTATATTAGTCTGAATAATTTGACAGATTTTGGGGAATGTTGTCTAGTGGATAGAACAGAGGGCTCAGGACTCTGTTCCTGGGTCTGTCACTCACGTATTATGTGATCTTAGACAAGTCACTGAACGGCTCTGTGCCTCTATTTCTGCATCAGTAATGTGTAAAATTATTCTGAAACTGCCAACCAGCACTGATTTCATGGGGACTGCTCACGTGACTTAGGCAAGTAGGATTTGGCTCAATTTACATCATTACAGTTCTATCATTGTGTGATGAAATTCACAAATCTGTTGTCCACTTTAGATGCGGGAAGTTGAAATCACCGTACAAAGTCTGAACCGGGGAGACAGCATTGTGAAGATCTGACATAGGACACTTACCAATTTGCCTGTAAATTACAGGAGGTTCCGAGTTGAAAAAACTACCAGTGCCAACAAAATACTAGCAGGTGCCACAGCTTGACTGATAACCTGAGACAATGGAAATCAAATAGCTGGTACCCAACTGGCACGCCTGTAGAACTGGCTGGCTTCACTCATTTTGATGAAAGCCTTCGTTGCTTTAATAAAGGTTGTTGGGGGACTTATCTGGGTGCATTGAAATGGCTGAGGATCCTTCCCCTGTTCGACTACAGTTCACTTGTTTTTGGGAGGAGATCTGACTTCTTTTAGCTGCTTTTGGAAACTTCAAGCCTTGATTGTTCAACAGGGAAGGGCATTCTGTGTGGAGGAAGACAACAATATGTCTCTCAGTGCTCTGAGGCAAAGAATGGAGTTCACACACTGCCAAAGGCAAGAAGTCCATCTAGCCAACTTCTGGTTTCCCAATGGCCTATAGTATGGGTCTGGGCTGACATGAATACTGCAGATCTCTCAAGTGGGTTAAATGCAATATATGCTTCTATTGCCACAATGGACAAAGGCAGCAAAGGCTTTGCACTGGGAAATGGGTGAGTGAAAAAAGATATAATTAAAACTAAGAAGAATAAAGATCAGATGATTTTGGAAAAATAATAAGGAGAATGAGAGCAGTCCCAGAGATCTTAGAGGACAAAGGGCTCCTGACGTTTTGAGAAGAATAGAGCTCAAATGACATCTTTTTTCAAATGGACTATGAAAGTGTTCATCGGGACAGCTTTGATCTTCCAGTACATCACACAGCAGCTCCCCACACTCCCAGACTTGTCAGTCAGGCATCTTCTTGCCTAGTGATGTGCACTGCTAGACAAGAGAAACAAGATTCTAGTTGCTATGGAAGTTGCAGTTTTGTTATAAGGACTGTGACAAAGTTCCTATTCTGCCTTGGTAGTTCCTGCGCTTATTTGCAGATTTGCTTGCCTCAGAGATTCACGGCAGCCCTCACTTTGGCCACTTTTGCTGGTGGCTCAAACCTGCCGTTCACTCAGCTAACCTCATCACTGGCCAGCCTGGGGAAAAAGGAAGGAGAACAATCCCCGCAGTCTCTGCTGATCCACCATGTGCATCGGGGAACAGCCCAGAGACCTTCCCCTCTGGTGGAACCCACAGTCCACGTCAACTCCTCCTGTGTCTGATCAGGAGTTGGGAGGTTTGGGGGGAAGCCGGGCCCGCCCTCTACTCCGGGTTCCAGCCTAGGGCCCTATGGACTGCAGCTGTCTAGAGTGCCTCCTGGAACAGCTGTGTGACCGCTACAACTCCCTGGGCTACTTCCCCATGGCCTCCTCCCAACACCTTCTTTATCCTCACCACAGGACCTTCCTCCTGGTGTCTGATAATGCTTGTACTCCTCAGTCCTCCAACAGTATGCATTCTCACTCTCAGCTCTTAGTGCCTCTTGCTCCCAGCTCCTCACACGCATGCCACAAACTGAAGTGAGGTCCTTTTTAGACTCAGGTGACCTGATTAGCCAGCCTGCCCTAATTGATTCTAGCAGCTTCTTAATTGGCTCCAGGTGTCCTAATTAGCCTGCCTGGCTGAATTTGTTCCAGCAAGTTCCTTCTTCTTCTTCTGGAACTGCCCCTGTTACCTTAACCAAAGAAAATGGACCTGCTTAATCTGGAACTAATATATCTGCCTTCTAACACTCTCCTGTAGCCATCTGGCCTGACCCTGTCACAGGACTCACTAATACAGTTCTACCCAGCTGACTTCGCTCTCATGGAACGTGTAGTGTATCACCATTTAAACAAGAATGAAATGGATAAAGGAAATATGCCCAGCTCCAACCTGCCAGATTAATATTATGTGCTTTCTTTTTCTTCTCACCCACAAGATGCTTCAGATGGGGAGATTTGTTCTTGAGATAGTGAAATAAAATAGATTCAGAGGACAATGGCTCTTGAAAGACTTTGCAGCTTCTAACTGTGAGTTTTGGAATACTGGCGCTGATCATTTTCAGCATTGCTCAGAAGGTTTTTTGTGTCAGGTGCTGCACATTGTGGATCCAGATTTCAGCTGCATTTAGACACCCGGGGCGCTAACAGTGCCTAACTGTGTAAGGGCTAGTTTGGAGACATCATTTGTCTTTTGAAAATCAGGCTCCCTTGTTATGTGGGGTATTCACTTTTTCCAAGTGATGCATGTCGGGGTTTTTTTTTTTTAACATAATGTCATTAGTAAGAATTGAAATGCTCACAACAAAATATGTAAGATAGAGTCCAGTTTAAAAGGGGAAATGTGCATGTTGACCTAAGTCCTCTAGTATGACATGCCCTGCTTGATTAAAAGTGCCAATGTACAATGAATACAATAGCAAGGATGTATTGGCAAGGAGTTGACCTCAGGTGCAGTGCCATCCATTTCCTCTAGGTTCTGAAGCAAGCATTCCTTAAGGTATGTTGTTTTGGTTTTCCATATCCCTGACTTGCCAGTCCCCTTTTTCTCAAGGTCAGCCTTATTAAACTCATTAGTTGTCCAGTTAATCATAGAATCATAGAAGATTAGGGTTGGAAGAGACCTCAGAAGGTCATCTAGTCCAACCCCCTGCTCAAAGCAGGACCAACCCCAACTAAATCATCCCAGCCACGGCTTTGTCAAGCCTTAAAAACTTCTAAGGATGGAGATTCCACCACCTCCCTAGGTAACGCATTCCAGTGCTTCACCACCCTCCTAGTGAAATAATTTTTCCTAATATCCAATCTAGACCTCCCCCACTGCAACTTGAGACCATTGCTCTTTGTTCTGTCATCTGCCACCACTGAGAACAGCCTAACTCCATCTTCTTTGGAACCCCACTTCAGGTAGTTGAAGGCTGCTATCAAATCCCCCCTCTCTTCTCTTCTGCAGACTAAATAAGCCCAGTTCCCTTACATTATCTTTACTTCTTTCTTCTACACTTTTATAATTTCTGCTCTCTCGATTGTTCTGCTTAGAGTAAATTCATCAGCTTGAATCAATTTATTTTGGCTTCTTGCGTTTGTAACGAGAGCAAAATCTGGCCCAGAATGATTAAATCATTTGGGCAGGTACTTCACTTAGGCACCTGTTAGAAACTTATGCACAGCCTGGAGACAGTGGGTTGTACATTTTCTCACCAATCCTGATTTCTCCTGTGAAACTGGCAATGGACTGGTGGGTCAAAGGAGGAAGACTTCAGGGTTTTTGTGTGTCTCTTTACCCAGCAATGATCTGTATGTACACACAGATTATGCAGATTGCATGCGATTCTGTCTGTGCACAGAATTGCTGCATGCCGGAATATAGACATACATTAACGAGTTGTTTGAAGGGCACATATTTTGTGGGTATGAACATAAGCAACTTATAACCTTAAAAGGTTTACACAGAGAGACGTGGTTTTGTTTGTTTTAACATCCTGGCTGCAATTTTTGAAGCCCATTAGGGTGAGCAGCTGACTTGGCTAAGTGGCCACATAAGTACTTAACAGGGTGCATAATTAATTGTCAAAGGGGTGTCAAGGCACATAGGGTGCCTAAAGATGTGCACGCCTCATTCCTGTGTTTTGTGAGTATGGCGTAGTGTATGAGCAAACTGGTCTGGGAGATGGCTGAGCAGATTGTGTGGCCTGAAATGGAGGCATGATCAGAGAACACCTACATTGTTAGGCTCTCTTCCAGATTCCTCTCTGGTGCCAGGGCAGCACAGGAGACGCTGCCTAGGGAGAACATCTGAGGCTTCTGCTGATGGAGGAAAAGCTCAGTAAAAGAAACACCAGACAAGTGAGTGCTGCAGGTTAGACATTGATCGTATAAGTGAATCTGGGACAGAAAGAAAAGGGAAATGAAATGGGACAGAGCAGAGAAGGAGAAAGGCAGTGCCTGCTTTATTTCTCCACTGCCTTTTCAGTGAGTGACTTTGAGGCTTCCAGAGATTGCACCCTTGCCAACCAAGCGACTGGGCAGGGACATTGACCTGGCCCACATCTGGTGTCAGTGACACAGGTAAAGGTGATTGATGGAGGGGACGGTGTACAGATTGCTCCCGGGATGCAGCCAATGGGGGAGAAAGGGTGTTGTCACTGCTAACCCAAGGTATCGCACCAGGCCTCCTGTGCCTCTGAGGCAGTGGAGACAAATGTGTCACACTGGGTACTGGGTGAGCAGCTGACTCAGTGACCCCACTAAGGAAGTCCACGCTGCGAGAGATTCCTTCATGGAGTCAGTCATGCTGAGTCTTTGAGTTCTTTGGGGAATGCCAGCTGCTTTGGGGCTCATGGTCTATGTTGCTGCCTAATTTGCCTAACTTCCTGCAGAGCTTCCCCAGGTTCTACTCCGAGATGTGTCTCCCTCTGGATACTCCACTTTAGGTGCACATGTGCCCCTGATGCCTTCGATCTCAGATTTCCATTAGCAGTGTCCATTCAGCCCTCTCATGCTCCCTATTCAGCCTTGTGCCCAGCACTGAGGTTATGTCGGGCTGCTCAAGTGAAACACCCTCAGTTCCTTCTCAACCACGTTGGCTTGAGATGGCGCTTAAGAGTGTCCGCCTTGAGCATGCCTTGGCTAAAAGTTTTTTCGCTTCATTGATAGTTTAGTTTTAGATAGTTTGCTTGTTAGTTAAATTAGCTTAGTTTAGGAATCAAGAGGATTAGCTTTGTTCCTCTAGCCTCCCTCTGGGGAAGTTTGTCTTTCTTGGAAAGGCATGTCTGGCTCACTGGGCTTCTAACACTGCATCCCTTGCTGGGTGGCCATCACTGTTGGCGATGGTCACTCCACGTTCCTTTGTTTCCTTGGAAAGTCGCAGATTGATGTGTCATTAGAGGAGGTTTTGGAACAAATTGATAAACTAAACAGTAATAAAACACCAGGACCAGATGGTATTCTCCCAAGAGTTCTGAAGGAACTCAAATGTGAAATTGCAGAACTACTAACTGTGCTTTGTAACCTATCATTTAAATCAGCTTCTGTGCCAAATGACTGGAGGATAGCTAACATGATGCCAAGTTTTTAAAAGGGCTCCAGAGGTGATCCCAGCAACTACAGGCCAGTAAGGCTGACTTCAGTACCGGGCAAACTGGTTGAAACTATAATAAAGAACAGAATTGTCAGACACTTAGATGAACATAATTTGTTGGGGGAGAGTCAACATGGGTTTTGTAAAGGGAAATCATGCCTCACCAATCTACTAGAATTCTTTGAGGGGGTCAACAAGCATGTGGACAAGGGGGACCCAGTGGATATGGTGTGCTTAGATTTTCAGAAAGCCTTTGACAAGGTCCCTCACCAAAGGCTCTTAAGCAAAGTAAGCGGTCCTGGGATAAGAGGGAAGGTTCTCTCATGGATGGGTAACTGGTTAAAAGATAGGAAACAAAGGGTAGGAAGAAATGGTCAGTTTTCAGAATGGAGAGCGGTAAATAGTGGTGTCCCCCAGGGGTCTGTACTGGGCCCAGTCCTATTCAACATATTCATAAATGATCTGGAAAAAGGGGTAAACAGTGAGGTGGCAAAATCTGCAGATGATACAAAACTACTCAAGATAGTTAAGTCCAAAAGCAGACTGCAAAGAGCTACAAAGAGATCTCACAAAACTGGGTGACTGGGCAACAAAATGGCAGATGAAATTCAATGTTGATAAATGCAAAGTAGTGCACATTGGAAACCATAATCCCAACTAGACATAGAAAATGATGGGGTCTAAATTAGTTATTACCACTCAAACGAGAGATCTTGGAATCATTATGGATAGTTCTCTGAAAACATCCACTCAGTGTGCAGTGGCAGTCAAAAAAGCAAACAGAATGTTGAGAACCATTAAGAAAGGAAGAAATAATAAGACAGAAAATATCCTATTATCTCTATATAAATCCATGGTACGGCCACATCTTGAATACTGCTTGCAGATGTGGTCGCCCTGTCTCAAAAAAAAAAGATATAATATATTTAAAAGGAAAAGGTTCAGAAAAGAGCAACAAAAATGATCAGGGGTATGGAACAGCTTCCGTATGAGGAGAGATTAGTAAGATTGGGACTTTTCATCTTGTAAAAGAGATGACTAATGGGGGATATGATACAGGTCTATAAAATCATGACTGGTGTTGATAAAGTAAATAAGGAAGTGTTATTTACTCCTCATAACACAAGAACTAGGGGGTCACCAAATGAAATTAATAGGCAGCAAGTTTAAAAAAGACAAAGGGAAGTATTTCTTCATACAGCGCACAGTCAACCTGTGGAACTTTTTGCCAGGGGACGTTGTGAAGGCCAAGACTGTAACAGGGATCAAAAAAGAACTAGATAAGTTCATGGAGGATAGGTCCATCAAAGGCTATTAGCCAGGATGGGCAGGGATGGTGTCCTTAGCCTCTCTTTGCCAGAAACTGGGATTGGGCGACAGGGGATGGACACTTGATAATTACCTGTTCTGTTCATTCCCTCTGAAGCACCTGACATTGGGCACTGTCAGCAGACAGGATACTGGGCTAGATGGACCTTTGGTTTGACCCAGTATGGCCATTCTTATGTTCTCTCCTTCCCTGCTTCTGCTGGTCTCTAATGTCCAGCTGTTTCTATTGCTCTAGTGCAATGCAATTTATATCTAGGCATTGCTCTCAAGCAGCAAGGGAGGAAACAGTTACCAGCAAGACCAAAAGGAGCCCTCCTTTTCCATTCCCTGGTCCCACCCACTAGACACCACCTAGGGCTCTGTCCTGCAAGGCAAAGGGCACAGAATAAAAATAATTCTCCTTCTCCTTTGAACCATGTCCACAAAGCCTCTCAAGCAATTATCTGTATTGTACAGATGGGGAGGAGAGGCACAGAGAAATTTGGCCAAGGTCCAACAAGGAAGGAGTCTCTAGCAGAGCCAAGAACTGAACCCAGATCTCCTGAGTCCTTGGCTGGTGCCCTAACTACTGGAACCTCCTTCTTTTCCACTGATAGTGAGTTTCTCAATGAAATTACAGTAAAATATTTGTATTGTGCACTACAGTAGTTCACAAAAATCAGAAGAGAAGGGGTAAGAAGGAAACAAGCTATCACTCTCAAGGTCAAGCAGCGTTGGAAGACCA